GTACATGTATTATTTTAGGGACAAAAGAGGCAAGGCACCAAAGATAGCAGGAAACAGTTTTATTTGGCTGCAGCCAGGTTCAGAGGGCACAGCTTTTGCTGTAATCAATTAATCCCCGAACTCCGAGTTCAGGGAGTTTCAGAGTTTTATACCCAGCAAGTAAGGGGAGGGGTTCAGAAGTTCACAGTCTGCAAAAGTTCACATAAAAGCAGCTTTTTCTTTCACTGTTTTGGGCAAGTTAACTCTTCAGGGACAACACCTGAGAAGGGGAGAGCTTCTTTTCCCCTTTCTTTCCTCCTCCTGCCAGCTGTTACCATGGAGCCCAATTGTAACTTATCTTAAAAATGTAGACATCTCTGTGAAGCCCAGCTCAAGGCCAGAGGCCTTGTTTGCACAGTTCTACAAAGTATTATACTGGATATGTTTGTGAAAAACTAGTAAGGGGGTGTCCAGCACCTGGAGTGTTGATATCTTCCCGGCCAGTGGCCAAGTAAAACAGGCAACATGAAAATAGGACATTGGACTCTTTTGCAGAGACTCTTTTGCTGACAGTCCTAAAATCAGCCATGGTGAAGAGGGCTTTTCTGTGGAGAAAGAGAGTGCCACTTCAGTATAAAGGCATGAATTGGCGTGAACATTCTATATACAAAGATATGAAAAATTGTGCTCTATATGTTAATAAGAACTGTAATGCTTTCCACAGTCATGTATTTTAAAAAATYAATAAAATAATAAAAAAACAATGATTACACATAACAATGATTACCCTTGATGTGATTTGATGAAAATGACACTTTTCCTGTGGTCTTTCTCTCCAAAAAAACCCCATAATCCCAGTCTAACCAGGAGAAAAATAGCAAACATATCACAATGGAAGGATGTTCCACAAAATATCTCACCAGTCCTTATAACCATTGAGGTTATAGAAACCAGAAAATAGCCGGTTGTGGCGGTACATTCCTGGAGTTGAGGCAGAACTGCAAGTTAGAGGCCAGCCTGGGGCACTTCAAGAGACTCTTAGCAACTTGGGGAGATCCTGTATTGAAAGTACTAGGAAGACATACCTCAGTGGTAAAGCTTCTCTGGGCTCAATCYCTACTACCAAAGAAAGAAAAAAGAAACCAGAAATCACTGAAAAACTGTCCTACAGTGTGGTGGCTGGACATTAATGGAAAAAACTGCAGATTGCAAATAAAATTTTTAG